CATTTGGGATTATTAAATCTGAACTGCTGAGTCTAAAGGATTATATTACATAGCAAATAAATGTAGATACTGTATTTGAGTACCACATTTTTTCTCCTGACCATGTTATTATTATTATTACATAGACCAAATCCATCTGAAACTGTTCACAGTCTTGGAATATATCAAGAAAAAGATAGCTCTTTAAAGGTTATATATATAACCCTTAAAGTTTATTTTTTTTAAGAGTATGGATTAGCTGAATAAGTATGGCTATGGATTAGATTGGATACAAGTGGAACCTATTCAAAGCTTTTGTGCCATTGTTTAATGTGGCATTTCTTTTTTTTTTGGATTAGCTGGTGGTGACATTCAGAGAGAAAATGGAAGCATACCGTCATGATCCCTTCCAGGAGACCGGAGTCTGGTTTTGGGGGAATCTGCCTCTCAAGGGACCACTTCTCCACAATGGAGGCAACCTGAGGATTGTCCACATTTAGGATGCGGAAGCCAGTCATATTGACACCACAGAAGCGGTACGGCTCCAGGTTTATGGCCATGAGATCCTAGAGGAAAGATAGAGAAAGAGAGAGAAAAGATCTCATTTAACCGGCCTGAATTGAGCTTCATTGTTGCTGGGTGAGTGGCTTCTTGTCTCTTTGTCCCCTAATAAAAGCAGGAGAAAAAAAAGAAGATAGTAAAAAGAAGATAGACAGAGCAAAAATAAAAGAGATTAAGGATAATACCGTGCTTTCCAGGCCGCCTGGGTACAGCCAGATGAAGCATAGTAGGTCGTACACCTCTGTGCCAGCATGTATGATATCATAGACAGTGAGCCAGGAGTCATTCGCACAATAGCTGATTGAAACAGTTATTTCCTCTGTAATCCGGTCTTCATTGCTCCCATCCAGCCAATTTAACCGTAAAGACTTCACACCGCTCTGAATGCCGATCTGACACTAAAATGTATCACTATTTCTGGGCATTCAATGATTTTAACAGTGTGGATTCTTCAAAAAAGGATCCAAATTTCATATTCTCAATGCAGTGATGTGGGAGGAAATACTCTGAAAATGAAATTGCTGGGGTGGAAAATAGCATTACGATTAAGTGTTAATTAATCAAGATCTTTTCGTCTTACGAGGTCAAAGCAAAAGGTACAGCCACCTAACACAGTTCTCTAACTCTGAGAATGAATGGCAAAATGAGCAAGACCATGTTCACTGAAAGAACTTCCCGTAATGTGCTAAGGCTAATTAACGCTCTAGAACAATACCAACACACACCCACACTACGCATGCTATTGTCTGGAGTGTTATTCTGAGAACAGTCGTTCTGTTTCTTGTACCATCCTACATATTGCCAAACATGTTGGGAAGGTGGGGGCGGTGAAGAAATGTGGTAGAACATAATAGAATATTTCATTAACACCCTGTGGGGTTGGAACTGTTCAGAGAGAAGCATGAAAAACACATGCAGAAAATGGCTTGCCCCAAGAAACAGCACATTTTGAACTATTCAACAAATTATTTCTTGTTAAATGTAGATGTTACGATGGAAGTCTGTTTTATGGCTTCTTTCCATCTTAATGTTTTACTGTATCAATGTGGCTTTGATGCCCACATGCTTCGAATTTAGTGGATTTCTAGTTGGATAATCCTATTTAAAGCTTATATATATATATATATATATATATATACTGTATATATATCATTACGAAAATAGCACATTGTTCATTTTATTATGTCTTACATGAGGAGGTCTTAGCAAAATTATGTCACATAAATCCAACATATGTCAGACCTGTGCTCCCTGTGACCCAGTTTCTCCCTCACGTTGATTGTTCATTGATGTCAGGTGTGTCTCGTTATCCTGTGTATTTAGCCCCAGTCTGTGCTTGTCGGGTCTACTTGTTGGATTACGTGTGTTTACCCCTGTTCCTGTTGTGGATTTACCCCTGTGATTCTCTTATTAAATACCGTTTATGTTATCCACGTCCCCATCGTTCCTTCCAGCAGTGTATCGTGACAACATCGTTGTTCGCCAACACCAAAAATCCATTGGTTGGGGAGCTGCAGAATGGGTGTGGGCGAACAACAATCGTTTAATATACGATGGATGTTGTATATTACACATCAAAGACAGATGAGGTGATATTGATTGTGGTATTTGAGAAATATCTGATAATACAAGGGAAATCCCTCAAGAAGGCTAATAAAAAATAAGGTTTTGAAATATAACTTGAGACTTTTATGCTCTTCAGCTGTTCAGTGTGTTGCGAGGGCATAAGGGTATGCAAACAAAGAAAACATTTTTGCAACAGGCAGCATTTTTGCTTTCAGTGTGGCAAAATAATTGCTGGTTGCTGGAATATTGGATTGCAAATCACATCTGATTAAGATACTGTTGTAGTAATAAAAATGAATAACTTACTACTGCTAGTTTGTTTTACACAAATCTGAGAATAAGTACACAAAAATTACTACTGTGCCTTTATAGATGAATTAGGCCTTTAAGACCTTTTAGAAATGAGGACGCAGGAATTATGATAGCCTGTTCTGAGGACAGTTATGAGCTGTTATCTCAAACACATCACTGTCGACTATTCATGCTTTACTAGGTACATCTCAGAATTAATAAAATTGTCAGAAATTATAAAATAATAAAATTACTTTTTATTTACATAGGAAAGTGTTTTTTTACCCACGGAAGACTCTTGGGTTCAAATCCAGACCTAACATCACACTGGCAAAGAGCGTTTCATTGCTGTAGAGTGATATTGCGGTTATACAATTCAATCTATAAAATGTAATCCGTCATGTGTGGATTGTGGAACTACTTTCTTACGCCAGAGATTCAGAAGCAATATTGCCAGTTTGTCAAGTTTTGCTCTGCCATTGAAAATAGTTCCAAACAAAGACACAGCATTGCACTGCAACATGGCATAAGTGTTTCGCTCCTGAATTAATCTGCATATTTGAATGAATCTGTTGAATAAACAATTCATGACTCACGCATAATGACACTTGCCGCCACCTACTGGAAAATTCCATTCTGTTTAGAGAGCGTGCAAATCCTAACGAAGGAGGTGTTTTGGACTGACCAAATTTACATTTAAATGGCAATTTCTGCTACAGCACTGTTGTCAAACACTTAATTAATATGCAAGTTATTATCAAAACAAACAATTTGCAAACAATTTTCTGCTACTAGTTTTACCTAAACTGCCTTCATTTTTTGACAAATCCACAGCTTTAGAAATAAAAAAAATATAGATGTTTGCTGTACGTTTAGTTTCTGCGCAATCGTAAATACATGCACATTCTAGAACCACATTTTACGCACAAATACCAGACAATATGAGAATATACTCATACTGTATATCAGATTGTGCGCTCAGTTCAACAGTATGGAGTATATTCGTTTGCATTGTCTTCCAGTGAAATCCAACTTGAGTTTCTCCTCGGGGTGACTGCTATGGGCGATCTATCATGATGAACGATAAATGTGTGAAAATATCATAGATACATTTACATGTGCTAAAAAATGTAATAATCTAATGAAAAACACAGCTGATTAGTTTTCAGTGTGTTGGGTAGTAATCAAGCCTTTAGCAAGGACCAGTAAACCTCACTCATAACTCAGCTGCTTGACACATAAGGTGCATTAAAAGGCCACTCAAACTCTGTTCCAAAAACCAAGTGAAGTTCAAGTTTAAATAATAAAATTAAATACATTAAATAAAAATTGAAGATACATAGAAATATTAAACAACAAGAAAACTTTAACTAAAATTGAAATTGAAAATACAAAAATGAAAGCTCATTCAAAATATGAATACTATAAATAATGAATAAGCATACTGAATATGTCTTATATGAGGCCTTTGTAGTAGAAAGTGAAGCAGCTCACTTGATTTAGAAACAACACCAACATTTGTTCAAGAGAAATAGTGTTTGCAACAGTGAGGAAATCTGCAAAAACAGTGATTTGCAATTTAGACTTCTGAGCTTCAAAATCCAGAGGTGGAACACAAGTCAATCACTTTGTTGCCTTTGTAAAGGCTTTCAAAGACGTTTTGTTGATTTGAGCTTGAGGGAAGGGCTAATGTTTACACTGGGGTGGCGGAAACTCCATTAAGGCTGTTTTGTCAAGTGAAATTGATATTGCAGACTGGATCCAAAGCTCATCTGCAATTAAAAGCCATTCATCAAAAAATAAAGTGGGAGCAGCACAAGAACAAATGACATTCAGTTTGTTGTTAGTACTGCGGTGCATTACCAGAGTGGTGAAGATGTAGTGATAGTACTCTGTCATCATCCCCATCATCTGGGCCTGGAGGAAGAGGAAGAGGAAGAGGAAGGGGAGGGGGGTAGACAAAATAAGGTCACTATGTCATGTCAGAGTAATTTGCAATCATTGTGGCATCCAACACAAACAATGCAAAACAAATGAGATTGAATCAAAATAGCGGAACTATGAGGAACTAGTCAGCTCTGTTGATCTATCAACGTCTCCCTCTGATTTTCTTGTATCATATAGCACAACAGCTAGTGCAGCTAGCTTCTAATCACGATAAGGACCCTGAATGGGATAGTTCCCCCCC